CCCCTTCTCCATCCTTTCTTCCACCTTCCTCCTCCCTCCTCCCTCTCCCTCCCTCCCTCCTCCCTCTCTCCTCCCTCCCTCCTTCCTTCTGCTCCTCCCTCCTTCCTCCCTCCTTCTCCATCCTTTCTTCCACATTCCTCCTCCTCATTCCTCCACCTCTTCCTCCCACTTCCTCCTCCCTCCTTCTCATCCATCCTCCCCCCTCCTCCCTCCTGCTCCCACCACCCCTCCCTCCTTCCTCCACCCTACTGCTCCCTCCCTCCTTCCTCCTTCCACCACCCGCTCCCTCCCTCTTTTTCCTTCCTCCTCACCTCCTCCCTTTTCCCTTCTTCTCCCTGACTCCTTCTTCCTCCCTCCCCTCCATTCTCCCCTCACCTGTCCTCCCTCCTTCGACCTTCCTCTTTCATCCCTCTTCCTCCTCCCTTCCTCACTACTCCTCCCTCTTCCTCCCTCCTTCTCACTCCCTTCTTCCTCCCTTCCTCCTCCCTACCTCCTTCCACCACCCGCCTCCCCCTCCCTACTTCTTCCTCCCTCACTCCCCTCCTTTCTCCTCCCTCCTCCCCCCTCTTCCTCCTCCCCATCCAAAACCATTTGTCAGCTTAACAACCCTGATGTTCATTTTACAACCATGGCAATCCCTTAACAACCACTGCAAAATATATATACATGTAAAAGTCAGACAGACTTCGTCCAGTCTCCTCTTAAGAACCTCCAGCGATATGTCACCCACAACTTCTGGAGGCAGGCCGTTCCCCTGGTTCATTGTCCTCCCTGTCCGGAAACTCACCGAACGAACGAAGGAATAATTTCCCAACTTCTCCCTTCCGCCTAGGATGCCAAAGTGGTCCTTTTGGAAGACCTGGCTTCTCACCTGGGCCTCAGGACTCAGGTAGGGCTTTGCGAGCCGGATGTGGCGCGGTGGTCTGTGGGAAGGAAGGAAGGAAAGGAAGGAAGGAAGGAAGGAAGGAAGGAAGGAAGGAAGGAAGGAATAGAGAATAGAATAAAGCTGGAAGGGACTATGGAGGTCTTCTAGTCCAGCCCCCTGCTCAAGCAGGAGAATGTATACCATCTCAGACAAGTGGCTGTCCAGTCTCTTCTTAAAAACCTCCAGGGATGGAGCGCCCACAATTTCTGGTGGGAAGCTGTTCCTCTGGTTAATTGTTCTAACTGTCAGGAAATTTCTCCTTAATTCCAGGTTGCTTCTCTCCTTGATCTGTTTCCAACCATTGTTTCTTTTTCTGCCTTCTGTTGCTTTGGGGAATAGTTTGACTCCCTCTTCTTTGGGGCAGCCCCTCAGATACTGGAAGACTGTTATCGTGTCCCCCTTATTTCTCCTTTTCTTTAGACTAGCCCAGGGGTAGGCAACCTTGGCTCTTTTATGACTCGTGGATTTCAACTCCCAGAATTCCTGAGTCAGCCACGCTGAGGGGAAAGGGAGATGTTTCCAAGCGGAGCCCTGCTGGCTGAGGAATTCTGGGAATTGAAGTCCATGAGTCATAAAGCGGCCTAGGCCAGGGATAGGCAACCTTGGCCCCTTCATGACTCGTGGACTTCAACTCCCAGAATTCCTGAGCCAGCCATGCTGAGGGGAAAGGGAGAGGTTTCCATGCTGAGCCATGCTGGCTCAGGAATTCTGGGAGTTGAAGTCCACCAGTTGTAAAAGAGCCAAGGTTGCCTCCCTCTGGCCTAGCCAAACCCAAGTCCCGCAGCCGTTCTTCATATGTGTTAGTCTCCAGGCCTCGGATCATCTTAGTTGCTCTTCTCTGCACTTTTTCCAAACTCTCAACATCTTTTTTGTGAAATGGTGACCAAAATTGGCTGCAGTATTCCAGTTGTGGCCTCACTAGGGTTTTGGGTCGCAATGCCGGGGGGGGGGGGAAGGACTTACGGTGATGGATGCCTAACCTCTCCCCCAAAAGGGTCTACGCCGGAGTCTTTCCCCCTGTTAACCTGCTTGCTTTTCCCTTCCCAGGATGCGATCAACCGAGTGCAAGACCTGATGGCAGATGGCACGCTCACAGGTGAGAGCCAAAATCGGACGGGATTTCCTTGGCTGGTGCAGGTACGAGCAGGGGTGTCTCCACTGCCACACCTGAGCCGTCTTCATTTGACGTTGGCAAGCCCTTCTGTTCGGTTGCAGTTGCCGTTCACAAGGTTATCGCGGCGCGAAGAATATTACGGGTTTTTGGGCTCGAAATAATCACCATGCAGCCAAAGGTCAAAAGTCACCGTTGGGATATTTCGTTGGCTTGTGGCTAGTTAGCAAAATAATAATAATAATAATAATAATAATAATAATAATAATAATAATAATAATAAGAAGAAGAAGAAGAAGAAGAAGAAGAAGAAGAAGAGGAGGAGGAGGAGGAGGAGGAGGAGGAGGAGGAAGAAGAAGGAAGAGGAGGAGGAGGAAGAAGAAGAAGAAGAAAGAAAGAAGAAAGAAGAAAGAAGAAGAAAGGAGGAGGAGGAGGAGGAATAAAGAAGAAGAAGAGGAAGAGGAAGAGAAGGAGGAGGAGGAGGAAGAAGAAGAAGAGGAGGAGGAGGAGGAGGAAGAAGAGGAAGAGGAGGAGGAGGAGGAAGAAGAGGAGGAGGAGGAGGCAGCAGCAGCAGCTGATTTCCTGGGCCGGGTTCAGATGTTTGACTTATTGGGGGGGGGGGGGAGAAGCCGGTTGTCATCCTTGCACGTGGTTGCCTCCTCACCCTGGCTTGCCCCATTGACACTCTTGCACCTGGATGGGATGTAATGGTTAAGAGCTGCTTTCCCCCAGCGTGCCACGTTTCAGGTGTCTTTTCGGTGTAATTCTGCAAATTGAGATCCCAAAATGATGTGGAAGTCAGGAGCGGAGGAAAACTTATATGGCTGGGAAAATCAAATGTGGCATTCTCAAGTCATCAGCCGGCAGTTTACTGGGGCATTCTAGGGTGAAGTGATTCCTTTCAAATTCAAGGAGATGGAGACAACGAAGGGAGGAGAATGAAGGGAGAAGAAGGGAGGGAGGATGGGAGGAGAGGGAGAGGGAGGAGAAAGAAGGAATGGAAGGAGAGAGGGGAGGGAGGGAGAAAGGAAGGGAGGAGAGAAGGAGGGGAGAGGAGGAGAAAGACAGAATGGAAGGAAGGGAGGAGGGAAGGAGGAGGGAAGGAAAGGAGAAGGAAGGAAGGAAAGAAGAAAGGGAGAGAAAGAAAGGATGAGAGAGGAAGATGGGAGGGAGGGAGGAGAGAGAAAAGATGGAGAGAGGAAAGGAAGGAGGGAGGAGAGAAAAGGAGGGAGGGAGAGAGGAGCAAAGAAGGAAGGGAGGGAGGAGAGGGAAGAAGGAAGGAAGAGGAAGGGAAGAGATGGAAAGGGGAAAGAAGGAAGGGGAGAGGAAGAAGAGGAGAAGGGAGGGAGGAGAGAAAAGCGAGAGGGAGAAAAGAGGCAGGAGACAGAAGGGAAGAAGAAAAGGCAGAAGAAAGGAAGCAGGGAGGGAGGAGAGAAAAGGAAGAGAAGGAAGGTATGGGAGAGGAAAGAAAGGAAAGAGAGAGAAGGGAAGGGGGAGAGGAAGAGGAAGGACTCCATTGTGGGAGGCAGGTAAATCTAGGAAAGAAACGTTAAAAACGAGCTTTCCCCTTTAAACAGCCAGGCCTTTTAAAGCACCCTTGTTGGCTTTGAAACAACTTTGAAATCCCGGAAGAATTGGCACCCTTTGGCATCCTTCCCTTTTCGTTCATCGGGGTGGGTTTTAATTCCCGCTCTGGCCTTCCCCGCAGGGGTGATCGACGACCGAGGCAAATTCATCTACATCACACCCGAAGAGATGACGGCCGTGGCGGAGTTTATTCGGCGCCGGGGACGCATCTCCATCACGGAGCTGGCTCAAGAAAGCAACTCCCTCGTCAATCTGCAAACGGAGGCCGGTTTGCTTAGCAAAGGAGTGGCTTGAAAAGGGCCTCTATTCTTGGGGGGGGGGGACACAAATAAAATGGATAAAGTCATTTGGGGGGGGGATCTGATGAGCTTTTGGATCACTGAAGTCAGGGGTCCCCAACTTTGGCCACTTTTAAGACTTGTGGACTTCAACTCCCAGAATTCCTCAGCCAGCCAAGCTGGCTGAGGAATTCTGGGAGTTGAAGTCCACAAGTCTTAAACATTTCCAAAGTTGGGGAACCTTTGACTTAAGTCACATTCACACGTTGGGAATATATTTATATAAACAAGTCGGCTGTGGTGTCCTGGGAACCGAGTGGGAAGAATCCTTTTATAGGGCTTTTCCTGATGGATTATTTGCTGCTCCTAAATGGAAGATGGCGACGTGTATTGAAAAGTTTAGAATTGGACCTTTGCGGGCCGTCACCCGTATTTCGAACAAGCTTTCTGTACTACAACTCCCATGCGCCCAGTCTAAACACAGGTAGACACGCTATATAACCCAATGTACTTTGCGGTTCTGATTAAAAGAAATACATTTTCTTTCTGTATCACTGTTCCAGAGATTCAGAGTCAAAACAATGGCGATGGCTTTTGAACTGCTGTAGCTTTCTTATTATTATGTTATTTTTCCAATTTATAGGGGTGCTTTTTTTTTTCTATGCAAGCCTTCTCAAAGATAATCAATTAGGATTATGACTTCCTGACCTTTAGAACAATTAACCAGTGGAACACCCTGCCTCCAGAAGCGGTGAATGCTCCAACACTGGAAGTTTTTAAGAAGAGATTGGACAACGATTTGTCTGAAATGGTATAGGGTTTCCTGCCTGAGCAGGAGGTTGGGCTAGATGACCTCCAAGGTCCCTTCTATTCTATTCTATTCTATTATTCTATTCTTCTCTAAAATGGTATAGGGTTTCCTGCCTGAGCAGGGGGTTGGACTAGATGACCTCCAAGGTCCCTTCCAACTTTTATTATTATTATTATCATCATCGCACAATCAGCCAGATGTTCAGGCTGGATTTGGCATTTTTGTCTACCTATTGAGTCCTTACCGAGGACCTGGGATAGGCAGATGTGGATGTTTGAATAATAATAATAATAATAATAATAATAATAATAATAATAATAATAATTATTATTATTATTATTATTATTATTATTATTATTATTATTATTATTATTATTATTATTATTATTATTATTATTATTTTACGTGAGGGTCTCAATTACGGATCCCGATACAAAGATGGGGACAAAGAAACTGGATGTTTTAAGATTTAACTCTTGACTTTCTCCTGAAGTGTGAGTAGAACTCACCGTCTCCTGATTTTTAGCCTGGCCCTTTAACCCCTAGGCCAAGAGTAGGCAACCTTGGCCCTGTTATGACTCATGGACCTCAACTCCCAGAATTCCTGAGCCAGCCACGCTGAGGGGAAAGGGAGAGGTTTCCAAACTGAGCCATGTTGGCTCAGGAATTCTGGGAGTTGAAGTCCACGAGTCATAAAAGGGCCAAGTTTGAAGACCCTTGGCATAGAGAGACATTTTCCACAGTGAAAGGTTTAGGTCTAGGCCAGAGGTAGGCAACTTTGGCTCTTTTATGACTCGTGGACTTCAACTCCCAGAATTCCTGAGCCAGCCATGCTGAGGGGAAAGGGAGAGGTTTCCAAGCTGAGCCATGCTGGCTCAGGCATTCTGGGAGTTGAAGTCCATGAGTCATAAAAGAGCCAAGGTTGCCTACCCCTGCTCTAGACCCACTAGCTCTAAACCTTTCTTACATGTAGACGATAAAAGCTATTTTTCCTAAAAGGATTTTTGTTAAAGTGGAGCCTCAGAACAAGCGAGTACCCGAAGAGGAGATTGCTAATGTAAAAGGCAGAATTCTTCCCATTTTGCCCCCAAACGGCATCTTCCGAGCCTTGCCAGCCACTAAGAGGCAGGCTTGGCTCACCAAGGGGTTAACACTGAGTCTATCTCGGGGGAGAAAAAAAGGTAACCCAGAACAGGGCACCACCAGGAAATCTCAAGGGCGAAGGGCAGGCTCGGAAGTCTGAAGGCAGACCAAGTCACACCCCCTTCTCCGTTGTTGAATGTGGTTGCCGGGCGATCAACAATTCGCCACCAGGGCTGATTGTCATCGGAATCCTCTGCCCACAACTCTTGGTTCCATAGAAGTTGTCCCTTCCTAAATACACAAACACACAAACACACACTGGAGAAAGGCTGGAAGTCAACCACCACCGGACACAAGTGAGAGCCAGGATCAGGACCAACTGGCACAGAAGAAGCCGGGCACACCGGCCAGCATTGGCAGGGCAGGGGGCAGACCTGGCCTTTGGCCTCTGCCTGCAGAGGGGGCTTAAAGAGGGGAGGAGACCCCTCCCCAAAATCCGGGCTGAGCTAATGGAACTGGCACCATGTGGTGCCTGCCAGATGGTTGGGACTACAGCTCCCATAGTCCCTTGTTGAGACCAACACCGAAGACCCAGCCAGGCAGTGGGTTGTCTCGTTCTGGCTGCGGGGGGGGGGGAGGCCATGGGAAGGCAAGATGGTAGCTGGGATCAGGTGATTGGACGCCCATAAAAAGAGGCGGGGCTTTGTAGGGTCAAAGTTGCCATCTTGACTTTTTTGACTACCCCACTAAGTACCCCTTAGTACCCCTGCTATGCTTGGTTTAATATCAGGAGTGTTCGCTCAGGAAGGAAGGGGAGGACGAAAGTGGGAAGGAGGAAGGAAGGGAAAAGGAGGGAGGGAAGGAAGGGAAAGAGGAAGAGGGAAGGGAAGGAGGAAGGAAGGAGAAGAAAAGGAAGGGGAGGGAGGAAAAAGGGAAAGAAGGAAGAGAAGAGAAGGAAGAGAAAAGGGAGGGAGGAAAAAGGGAAAGAAGGAAGGGAAGGAAGGAAGAGAAAAGGGAAGGGAGGAGGGAAGGAAGGAAGAGAAAAGGGAAGGGAGGGAGGAAATGGGAAAGAAGGAAGAGAAAAGGGAGGGAGGGAAAAGGGAAAGAAGGAAGGGAAGGAAGGAAGAGAGGAGGGAAGGAAGGAAGAGAAGGGAAGGAGGAAAGAGAAGAAACGGAAGGGAAGGAGGAAAATGGGAAAGAAGGAAGAGAAAAGGGAAGGGAGGGAGGGAAAAGGGAAAGAAGGAAGGAGAAAAGGGAGGGAGGGAAAAGGGAAAGAAGGAAAGGAAGGGAGGAGGGAAGGAAGAGAAGGGAAGGAGGAAGGAGAAGAAACGAGGGAGGAAAACGGCAAAGAAGAAAGAAAAGGGAGGGAGGGAAAAGGGAAGGAAGGAAGAAAAGGAGAAGAGGGAGGGAGGGAAAAGGAAGAAAAGGAGGGAGAGGGGAAGGAAGGAGAAAAGGGAAGGAAGAGAAGAGGGAAGGAAGGAAGGAAGAGAAAAGGGAAGGAGGGAGGAAGGAAAGGAAAGGAAAGAAAAGGATGGAAGAGAAAAGGGAAGAGCGGGAGGAAGGAAGAGAAGGGGAGGGAGGAAGGAGACAAGGGAAGGAAGGACGGAAGAGAAAAGGGCGGGAAGGAGGAGTGCCAAGATCCCACCCTCCCTCCCTCTCAGGCTGGCCTGCTTCTCCTCCCTGGCAGCTGCTGAGCCTGACCGGTTGACCAAGCCAGGCCCTCCAGCCCGCGATGCTGACCGCTTCCAGGCGCCAGTTGCCGCCCCCGGAGGAGCTCTCGCTGCCCGAGGCCTACCAGCTGCTGGCTGCCCTGATGCAGTTCGTGGGGATGGGCCTCCTCGCCGTGGCCATCTACATGCAGAACTGGGTCTGGCTGGAGCCCCAGGACTTCACGGTCGGGCCCTGGCCCCTGGTCTTCTACGCCTTCGGGATCCCCTACAAGATGGCCACCTCCAGGAACGCCTCAGACGCGGGTAATTGACGCCCCCGAGGGTTGCCGGTTCTGAGGGGACGTCGGAGAACAGCAGCCGAGCCGCCTCAGGCGGGTAGTCCTCGACTTAACGACCCAAAGCTGAAGCCGACGTTTCCGTCGTTAAGGGAGACATCGGGGCGAAGCGAGCCTTGCCCCGTTTTACGACCTCCCTTGCCGCCGTTCTTAAGCGAATCACGGCGGTTGTTAAAGTTAGTAACCTGGTGGTTAAGGGACTCTGGCTTCCCCGTGGTTGCAGAAGGGGGGGTCGCGTGACCCCGGCACGCCGCGACCGTCATAAATATGAACCACTTGCCTCAAGCATCTGCATTTTGGTCACGTGATCGGGCAGCAAAACGGTCACATCACCTGGGTACCGCTGTGGAAAACAGTCCTAAGTGGCTTTTTTTCCCTCAGTGCTGTGGTAACCTTGGAAATGTCACTAAAGGAACTGTTGTAAGTCGAGGACCATCCATCATCTCCCCCCCCCCTCTCGGCATGAAAACATGATTTGAAGTGCTGGCTTGATATTTTTTTCCTGCGCCAAGCCTTTCTGGAGATGATTCAAGTATAAATAACTGGGCTTGAGGGGTTTTTTTGCAGACATTTCATGACCCAAGTAGGTAACATCATCAGTTCTGGAAGGGAGTAGGGTTTGCAAAGAGGTGGAGGAGGAGGAGGAGGAGGAGGAGGAGGAGGAGACGACAGGAGGAGGTGGAGGAGGAAGAAGAGGAACAGAAGGAGGAAGAATAGGAGGACTGTGGGGTCTCCGGTGCCCTTAATTCTTGCAGACATTTCATGACCCAAGTAGGTAACATCATCAGTTCTGGAAGAGAGTAGTAGGGTTTGCAGAGAGGAGGAGGAGGAGGAGGAGACAGGAGGAGGTGGAGGAGGAAGAAGAGGAACAGGAGGAGGAGCAAGGAGGGAGGACTGGGGTCTTTGGTGCTCTTGGTTCTTGCAGACATTTCATGACCCAAGTAGGTAACATCATCAGTTCTGGAAGGGAGTAGTAGGGTTTGCAGAGAGGAGGAGGAGAAGGAGAAGGAGGAGGAGACAGGAGGAGTTGGAGAAGGAAGAAGAGGAACAGGAGGAGGAAGAACAGGAGGACTATGCCCTTAGTTCTTACAGACATTTCATGACCCAAGTAGGTAACATCATCAGTTCTGGA